AAAATATTGCAATTATTTTTATTAAGTTCTTTAATGACGTAAAATTATTTTTGTTTAATATAAAAACATTACATTTTATACACAAAACAAGTGTTTTTTTATAATAAATAAATATAGAATTCAATTTTTTACAGTTAAGTTTTTATTTGAAAAAGGGTTTAATTATTTACTATAATCAAACAGATAGAAGTCTTTTAACAAAAATAGAATAAATTTAAACTAATTATTTAGTTAAGTAATAAACATATTTATGACAGAATATCAAATCACAATTTACAATGTTGAAAGTAATATATAAACATTAAATTTAAACACATTTCTTAACACAATTCATGTTAATTTTTGGTAAAATTAAGATCCATGGAAAATAAAATACAGAACTATAATTTGTAGTGCAAAAATAACATGAAATAATTTTAGCCCTCTTGTATTCAATAGCCTAGTATAAAATCTAACCATTGAAAGTAACTTCGGGCTATTTTCTTAACCATTAAGTAAATCATATGAAAATAGCATATCACTTAATTTTAGTATTATAATTGTATTTTTTATTCAAATATATTAGTAATATAATACAATTTTGTGACGATGATTAAGTTTCAAGAAATTGAAGGGTTTGCTGAAAAAGAAGGTAGGACTTTATCTTCAAATTTGAAGGGAATTGTTGAATAGTTTTATACTTCCATTTAATACAATGGTCTTTGTTATTTTATGTATTAAATAACTTGATCATATATGAATCATGTAGATAATTTTTTCTGTTATTAAACTTAAGAATTTTTTTTGACTAAGGATATGTCTCAATAAGACAAACTCCAAATACCCTAAAAATTAAGCTACCTTTTGCAATATACTTTTCAATTATAGATGTATTAAATAGATCAGTTAAAAAATTTAAATATTAAATAAAATACCTGGATTCTGTTTATTATTTATTTGAGTAAAATTGATTAGTAAGAAATAATTTAATATATATCTAGATGGAAGAAACAATTTAAACAATTATTACAAGATGCTGGATATGTGACACCAGGCAAGCCAATGTCTGAAGTTAGAGTACTGTTTATGGGGCGTGAGTGTTTTGAAGAGTTGTCACATGATGATTGCCAATATATTTATGATAAACATCAAAAAAGTATTATTGAAAAAGCAAAGCACAACTTTCAAGTATGTTTGTGTGTTGATGTATAAACTATTCTTAAATCAATATTTAATTATTGTTTTTTAATTTTTCAATTAGGAATTATTGTTGGAACATGCTAATCTATTTTATCATTTCAAAAGCATAGCACCCACAGGAACAATTACACAAGATGATATTAAGGAAATAACTGATGCTTTGAAAGAAGATTCTAGGTAATTACTAGAATTTATTTTTAGTGTTATATATATTTTAAGTTAATATATAGTATAATTAACTTGATATATTTGAAAAAATATTACTATTAAAAAATTAATTTGTAGGTATAAAGCTTTAGATAGACTTGATCAAGATAGAAAGCTAATGCTTTTCCAACATTTGGGTTTTGTTCATTGTCCTATACGGGAACATTGTCCTGCTTTTCCTAATTGTATGGACACATTAATTGAAAAACTACTGAGTGATAGAGTTCAAAGGTTTATAATATAATTATACAATTTTCATGTATTATATACAGTAAAACTAATTTTTATAATATATTTTTAGACCTACATCTGGAAAGAATAATCAATGGACAATAAAATCTGACAATAACTTAAATTTAGTAATATTAGGATCTAATGGATTAGCAGAAGAATTTTCAATCAAATTAAAAGTTAGCAATTTAAAATTTGTAATGTACAATTAGTTTTACTAATAATATTAATAATTTTAGGCACAATGTGATGATGATGAATATGAACTAGATAGTCAAGTATATAGACTTAAGTATCGAGTAATTAACGGTGATGTTAACTTATCACATAATTCATTTCAAACATCTGATTTTAAACCTAATGGTCGGTATACTAGAATTGTATTGTACTTTATTTTTATTTAAGTTATTTAATTATATTGTTGTACTATTTTTAGGTTGTGTTTGTGTATACTCTAATTCTAAATCTTTTGAGTATATTAGAGATAGTCTTGAAAAAACTTTACTTTCTAATTTAAAACAAGATGATAAATTGCCATTTCAAGGTCTACCAATTGTGCTGTTACATATTAGTGAATTTGGTAGTGGTCAGAAAGAGCTAACTCTTCAAGCAGAGGGTCAAAGTTTAGCTGATAGGTGAATATATATATATATTTTTTTTATTATATGACAAATTTGTTTTCATAAATATCAAATTAACATTTAATTTTTATTTATAAAGTTTACAATGTTCATTCATTAACATCTCTATGGAAGATGGGGATACTTCAATGTTTAATGTAGACTTAATTTCTAATGCAATGAAATTACTTATACAATGTATTACTCACAGAGATGGCTTCATAAATGAAAATCAATTAATTATGGATCCATCAGATCCTGATATACGGTATTATAAGAATTTTTATTTTATAATTTGGAATTAATTAAAAAATAAATGATATATTAATGCAGGATTATAATGTGTATGTTTTGTGGAGATTCATATTCTATAGACAGTATACTAGCACCTTTATTAAATCACCAATGTTGCTATTTAAGTGGAGATCGAAGCATTATTTTAGAAACTTTCCTTGGTACAACTAAACGTAAAATTGAAGTTATTATATCATCTTATCATGGTGCAAATGCATTTCGAGAAGATCTAGTACATGGATTTATTCTTACTTATTATGCTAAACGAAAGGCATCATTGTCAACCTTAAAGTAAGATTTTTTTAAACCTATTTGAAAAAATTTAATATTATAATTTATTTTAAAACTTATAATAATAAATAATTTTATTTTAGTGGATTTTCATGTAGTTCATTTTCTAATAATACTCCAAATTTACCTATTCAAATAATGGCCATTACAGAACCAGTAGGAACTAATTCATTCCATAAAAATGATCCAAGTCTGCAGTTATTAAATGATGGTAGTTCTATTGCTGATCAACTAAAGGCACAATTTATTACTATTATAAATTTTTCATCACAGAAAAGTAAGTACCTGACTAACTATGTTTAATTATAAATATTTATGTTAAAATATAATAATGAGTATATTTAAAAAAAATATTATTTAATACAACTTTATTATAAAAATAGAAGAAAATAATAGTTCTATACTTATGTGTGGTAGTTATTGTAGCCAAGAGATTGGGGTCAATCATTACTATTGTGTGGTTATTGGTAAAAATTGATATAATAATAGTACTGAAGGGTGGGAGATCTCAATTGAATGTTTAGTGCCTGTTCCCACAACTGATATTCTCAGGGAGTAGATCTTGGGAGAAGGTCACTAGTGAAATTTTGTAAGAACTTAGTGTGCATTGTCCATAAGGATAACTCTCTAAGCAATTCTTGTCTGTCCAACTTATTTGATAGTGGTTCTTGTAGTGATAGGTTTGTTTTTCTAGTGATAATGATGTAGTCTTAGTAGGTAAGTACACTTCAGAGTCCAAGTGGATAGTCAGTCAATAGTACGGTTGGAAGTGATCCTACATATTTTGCACAGTTACAGTCATTATTTCATATTCAGAGGTCTAATATTAAAGAAATATATCAGTTAAAATTGATATGATGTTTATCAACTGGTGTAATAACTAAACGTATTTTCTTAAGTATAACTTAGTTATAAAATAGTTTTAATTTTAATTTACACTAAAATATTATTTAGGCTAATCAAAGCAACTGTTGGCTAGATACAAAGATATTAATCTTGCTTAATTATTTACTTTTACTACTCAGCCCTGACTGAACCAATATTATTTTACTAATTTTCAAAACATCTCAATTTACATTCATTTGAAGTATTATTCATAAAACTTGGTTTTTATTAACTTTTGTTTACCCTTTTTTTTTTTTGTGAACTTTCATACTTTAAATTAAATTTCGACATTTTTTCAATTTTTTTTACTTAAAAGTGTCATATCTTTTTTAAAAATGTGTGGATCAATATAATTTTTTTTTATAGATACACAACATAATTGTGATCTTTTACTTGCCTACAGGGGAGATTTAAAGTGACAACTTTTTCAACTCAACTTTCTAAAGTGTTAAGGAAATATTGACACTTTTATATATATTTTATATTAAAGCTTATGTAATATACTTAATTAATGAAAAAAAAAATTTCGAACTTTATTTTGTCTTCATAATGAAAATGGCTACCACCATATGCTACTTTTTGTTCAAATTCTCGATTTTATATTTTTAACTCTTTAGGCCCTTTAGTTAAATGTATGTTAAATCAATTTACCTCTGTTTAAAATTCAGAAGAATTATAACATAAATAACAATTTGTATGTTTAGAGATGTTAGATCTTAGGTTTCTCAAAAAATATTTTTATTTATAAATTATCAATTTTAGGCTCTTTTTATGCTCCATTCTTTAAAGATGTTTGGGATAAAAAGTCAGAGATAGAACAAGCCTTCCATATGGAAGAACCCACTGTTTATAAACAATTCAACTCTTCTTTGAAAATGAATATATCTTCACATGAAGGGTGAGTGTTAAATAAGAAAATACATTTTTTATACTAATATCTAAAAACATAATTTCATACTTTTAGAAGCAGTAATAATTTATATGCAAGATTACCATCTCGGATGACTCAAGATGATGAAAGTTATTCGTTAATTCATTCAAATGAAAACTTAATGAGTCCAAGTGATGATAGTGATACATTTTCACCAATGGATAATATGCTTCTTAATCCTAGTAGTAATAATTTGGATAAACAAAAAGGTTAAGGGACTCTTATGTTTAACAATAAATTAACAACTATCAAGGTTAAAAACAATTAACATTACAATATTAATTTCATAAAATAATAACTTATGAGTAAAAATAAATAAATAACTATTGAAGATAATGAAATAGAGACATAATGTGTGGTTAAGTGGATCATTCAGTTATAGTCTTAGCGCTGGGGTTTAGCTGCTTCATTTGCTGTTGCACTTTAATAGTGACACTTACCTTCTCTCTTAATTACTCCCTCAATTATAATTAAGTTGTATTAGGTTGACAGTCGATTAAAAATCCTGTCAAATAATAAGGTAGAATTTTTATCTCTAAATTTGTTAGGATAGAAGTTAAGGAGATAAGGAGTAGAATAATTTGCCTAAAACAAGTATTCTTAAGAAATAATGGTTTACTTTCAACATTTTTTTTTCAATTTAACAATAATATTATACTTAATAAGATATTAAAATTTTAAAATAAGAATACAATATTCATTGATTTTCATTCTTTAACAAATCTTATAATTTTTACAAAAATTCTTTTATAGAAACTAATGTTATCTAAACTATTTTTATTATAGTAACTGAATTAATCTATTTTTCCCAAATGAAGTTAGGTAATTGTCTTATTAACGTTTATATAATATCATTTTTATTATAAATTTTTACTCTTCAAAATATTTACAGTATTTTAATCTTATTGAAGTTTTCTACTTGTTTGTAAATATTATCATGTACATTAATACTACTTCACATAAATACTATACCACATTTAAAAATTACAAAGCAATGTAATGACTAGTGTGTAAATTTACACATATATGATGGTCTTACAGGCTTTCAGGTGTTTCCTCAACCTACAACCCCACCTGAACCAGCTCCACCTGATCATGCTGGACCTCTTGGTATCAACAACAATTCACAGATGATTGCTTCCAACTCCAGTCTTGATGAAATAACATGTAACATAAAAAAAATTACTGTGCATTGATATTTCATGAATTTCTGAAAGTATTTTCCTTGCACCAATATAAATCATTATTCATAAATAGTTAATAAATCACATAATTTAATTTATTTTCATGTTCAGTTATAGCATGTTAAGTATTTAGTCTAGTACCTCATTTAAGTTTTCCTTTTTTTATTCTGGTTCAACCTTTAAAAAAAAATATGCATGGTGTTAATCACTTTTGTGTAAAAACTATTTCAACAATTTTTAGTAAAATATTTGTCTTTATTGGTATATATATATTTTTTAAATAAAGACAGCTTTTAAAGTCAATTTTTTTATGGAAGAGTGAAACTTTAGACAATCAATACTTTTTTTAATTAAGCAATATAAAACTATTTATAACAACTAATGAGAATGTAAAGATGATAATTATTTATTTGTTATAAAATAGTTAACTTAAAGAGATACTTATAGATAATAAATATTTTGAAAAAAAATATAAAATATGTCATATAATTTGTAATTTTAATATTAAAAACAGCTTTTCAAGTAATGTTTAGTCAAAAAAAAAAGATAATAAGTATTTATAATAAATAGACTATAAATTCTTTGATATTAATTTAAAATTTATTATTTTCATCACAACTTTTTATCATCATATTTTTTGTTATATAATATAATAACTGCATATAATTGCATGTATTTTTTTTTAAAGTTTACATGTTTAAGATATTTTAGTTTATTTTGTAAATTGTAAATTTTTTTACTATTCTAATCTTCATTTTTTAATAAATAATAATTTTTTTAATGCAGCCGATATTAGTGGATCAAGGGAGTCATTAGCAACACATGACTCAGGTAGTTTTTTGATAAAGTTTTAATCCAATGTGTTGTATTAGTCATAATATATTTTATGTATACCTAATTATAATGTAAATAACGTAATTTGGAATTATATATTATAATAATAGCTAAACATTATTTTTCAGGATGGGTAGATGATTCTGTATTCATGCAGCATAGTCAAAATGAAAATCCTTGGATGAACAGTTATTCCAAACATGCCTTTACAACAGGAAGACATCATATATCCAAGTCTCGTTATAAAAATAGTAATCATACAATGAAGGTAAACAAAAAAATGATTGAGTATAAAAATTGGATAAGTCTGAAAAGTGCTTTTATAAGATAATTATAATAATCTTTATTTTTATTTGTTGTTAATGTTTTATTTGTAAATAATGAAATTTCTCATAAAGGTCTATTTTATAATGAGAAAAATAAACTTCAAAATGTCTTTATTAATTTTTTCTTTCTAATTATCACTGCTGATTGTTAAAATTAATTTAAAGTTCATTTTATTGTTTTAAATGTTTTTTTAATTATATTTTGTTGCTATTGATGTCTCTGTATTTGAAAATTCTTAGAACTCTTAAAGTAATATGTTTTTAAAAAAATTAGAATGTTGTATCGCTGGAAGTTAAAGTCTACTCCACTGAAGATCAAATGAATGTATTAATGCAATAAGGTGGACGTTTCAAATTTTTGTTAAAAACATGTTTTAATAAAGGCTTTACTTGTTTTTTAAATATAGTTACTTTTTTAGATAAGGACAAGCAATTTGTATTTGAAATATTACTATTCTAAACTTAGAATTAAATTAGATTTTGTTTTGAATTTAGTTTTGTAAGATAGATATGACATGTTATTGCACTAATATACCTTCATTAGTTTTTACTATTTCATATTAACAAAATTTATTCAACAGAAATAATAACATCTAAATGGTTTTAATTCCTTTAGCAACCAGGTAAATTGAATATGAATGATTACACACTTGTCACAGATGCTATTTCTAGAATGAATCTAATAGGTGGAAAAGATCATTATAGTCGACCTTACAATAGTAGTGGTTCATCTTATAGTTATGCTCCATTAGCTACACCTGAAAATGTAGATTTAGGTTCTGAATATGCTCAGGTTAGAAGAATTTAAATTAATTTATGTATAAATGTTTTTATATTTATATTATTATTAGGTTAAAGATATAGTACCTGGTCATTATCCATTTGATGGAGATTATTCTTATTCTCTTGTTCAAGATAGTTTATCAAGCTCTAGTAAACATAAAATAAGGCTTCATAGAGAAAAAGGAAGACCCAGTAAATAAAAATAGTAATATTTTTAATAACAGGTTTTTTTAATTTGATACTCTGTCTAGACTATTCAGATTCTGATAGTGATTGGAGTTCAATGGAAAGACGAGCAGAACCATTATTTAATTCTTCTAATGAAACTTTTTCAAAATTAAAATCTCGCAAAACTGTCACTCAAAAACGACCTAAGAAAAAAAGAATTGCTATTCCTGTTGCAACACCTAAGGTTCCTTCATTTAACCCACCATCAAATGGATCCACTATAGGTTTTAGTTCTCTGTCTTCTCAACATGGCACATTTTACTCTGAAGAAAATTGCGAGATTAAATGTAATTTATACATTTTTTTATACAACTGACTTTTATTGTTGTTTATTTTGTTTTTAACAGCTAATAATAATGTTTCATCGCCTCATTTGTTAGTGGCAAATTCTGATTCATCTAGTGATAATTCTGATGAGAAACCTACTGTTTGGGCACATCCTTCTGCTAGACATCTTGATAAAAGATCTTTACGGTATAAAACAAAACAAATGTGCGCTCCTATTCCACCAGTAATATCTCCCGGTGCTATAATTAATACAATGTGTAAGACATAAATATAAATAAATGTTTAGTTTTTATTTTATTTTAATACTGTCTATTTTATTGTCAGCCTCACATATTCAAGAAATTAATTATAATTATGATGAGGAATCGAGTTTAGATATTTCTTCTCCAAGATGCCTAAATTCTCCATCTGTAAGTAGCAAATAATTACAAATATGAATAAATTTATTAATTAAAACTTTACTATTACTTTAGGTAATAGGAAGTTTAAAAGGAAAAGATGATGACAAATCATTCAGAAGAAAAGAAAAACAGAGAGTTAAGGAAGAAGTTAAAATGGAAAAAAGACGTTTAAAAGAAGAAAAATTGAGAAAAGTAGCTGAAGACAGAGAGAAAAAAAAGAAAAATAAGACAAAAGTAGTTGGAGGCTCACCTATGGCACATCAACCTAATTTGGAAAATTTTATTCAATCAGAAAATAATGCTATACCATTGTTGCTGGAAAAATGCGTTAAATTTATTGAAGCTGAAGGTTTGGAATCTGAAGGATTATATAGAGTTCCGGGCAATAGATCTCATGTTGAACTTCTCTTTCAGAAATTTGATGAAGGTAAACAATTTTTATTTTTAATAAAAAAAATTTCTTTACCAAATTACTCAATTATATAATAAGATAATTTTAATACATCTATTTAAAAAGTTTATTCAAATAAATTTTTAAATTAAATTATAGTTTATAGAAATTTATTTTTTTTCATTATTATCATTATTATACTGTTAAATTTATTGCGTACAATTTAATTTTAGAGAAACAAAACTTATTTCTTTAAAAATTGTTCAATATAGTCAGGAAACGTAAAAAAGGGTGATTTTTTTATCATAACCCACTCAATTACTTACAGAATAAATATATTTAACACATTATATTACAATATAACTAGAGGTCGATTTTGATTTACTAGTTTTAGAGCAACCATAATGAACTGTTTTAGCTACATAAAAAATAAAGAGGTGTTTAAACCATAAGTGTAAAAAAAAAAATAAAGTACAGGAGAAATCCAGCAAAATAGAACTGAGATATTTTTTATATTATTATGGATTTATATTTAAAAATGATTAAAATCACTGTCATAAAACAATTTGATACATATTCAAAATGATTTTTAGTCAATAAAATGTTATAATGATAAAATGATCACTCTGTATATACAGGATGATTTTTTTTATCATAAACCACTCGTTTACTCTCAAAATAAATAAAATATTGGAAAAAACATGTTATTTCTTTTAGTTACATATATTTTTTGATTTATCAGCTAACAATTGCTTTTTTGAACTAGATCTCTTATAACTTAGAGGGGTATCAATTTTATTTTTCAAATAGCAACACATGTATTAAATTAGCTTAATTAGATAATTTTAATTATCTAATTTAAAAAATGGCTGGTAGATAAAAATTTTTTGGATATATACTTTGAAAGTTGTTAGCATTTTAAAACATTTTATTGACTGATGATGAAACGCAAATGCTGATATTTTTAACATTAGTCTTTTTCGGCCGCATTCCTCCTACCATCTATGTACAGAAATTTTAATATCTATTGAAGCACTAGTCTAGAAGTTGTTATTGACCAGTAATTTTTTTAATTAGATTATTTTCTATTTTATAAGTTAGTTTAATACATAAGTTGCCATTTAAAAAAATAAAGTTGATACTCTTATAAGAGATAAGGGGTGGACCAAAAATTGTTTTATTTGGAGGCTTAGATGGTTATGAGGAGAGAGAAATTGGAAGCTGTAAGAACAGTTATGAAAATGAATGTTGAACAATGAAGAGGTAGAAGAAGACCAAAAAAGAAATGGAGGGATGTTATTAAATGCGATATGAGGACAACTGATGTGGGAGATTGTGTTAAGTGGAAGTTTATGATAGGGTGGCTAACCCCAAGTAGTTTGGATTAAAGCATATACATATATAAGTTATATGTATATATAATATAACTAACAAGATATAAAAAAAAAATTTTGAATAACTTATTATTAGAGTAGATAGCATTAAAAGAACACCTTGTGTAAATATGTTCTGGTGACTTGTTCTCAATGAGTAATTGATCTTTTAAAACATGATTTTTGATAAATAAGATAATTAAAAAAAAATCATTTTGAATATGTATCAAATTGTTTTATGACAGTGATTTTAATCAATATATAATTAAAGTAATCTAAATCAAAATCGACCTTTAGTTATATTCCAGTTATTGATTCTGTTGTGCAAGACTGTGTAAGTTTTCCATCCCTTCACACAAGCCTAGATTTTCAAAGAGGACGTTAAAGATAAATTAATAATAGTTATTCACTTATTATAAAATAAAATATTAAATTAAGAAGAAGAAATTATCTATTTTCTTCACTTTTATTATAATTGTTATTTTTTTATATGTATTTATTTATTATTATTTTATTTACACAAATTGTTTAATTAACTTCCTTTTAAATTGTAGACAACAATATAAATATTGCTGAACTTGATATACNGTAGACAACAATATAAATATTGCTGAACTTGATATACCAGTTAATGCAGTTGCTACAGCATTAAAAGATTTCTTTTCTAAAAAATTGCCTCCTCTATTTACTGATGATTTAATGGATGAATTAGAAGATTTATCTGGTAATTTTTTATACATATTTTGCTAGATTATTTCAGAGAATGGCACTTAAAATGTTTTTTAGACTTTTTTGTTTCAGTTAAAGCAGATAGAAATTGTCGGTTAATGGCATTGAGAAACTTATTGAAAAAATTACCTCATGTCAACTTTGAAGTGCTAAAATTTATATTTCGTCATTTTGTTAGGCAAGTAATAAATATTTTGTTTCAGATAAATTATTATGATCAGGGTTATAATATGCACTATAAAATTGTATTATATTATTAATACTTTTAAAAAAAATTAAAAAATATATATTATCTTTTACTTCATAAAATTTTTTATAATTTTAGTTTAATACTTAAAAAAAATATACATTTGTATCATTAAAATTTAATATATGATTTTTAAAAAGACAAAAGACATTTTGTCTTTGATATCCAGTAATTTTTTCCTTCATCTATTCGCATATTTATAACATTTTTACCAAAGCTATTCAAATATATACTGGAGAATATTTATTTAGTGACCTTAAATATATATATTTTATGTGTAACATAGTCAAATCACTGTAAAAATCCACAATAATTTATAATGAACTATAAATAATTTCTTTGAGTTGTCTATTGTTTTCATCTTTTTCAACTACTAATCAAGGTTTTTCAATATAAATGTTAAAAATTATGCTAATATTTATTTAATATTGTTTAGTAGTATATTAATAAAATTATCACTATTTATTTAGGGTGGCCGAAAATTGTAAAGCAAATAGTATGGATTCTAAAAATATTGCAATATGTTGGTGGCCTACATTGTTACCAATTGAATTTAATGATATGGGACGATTTGAACAACTACGGCCCCATTTAGAAGACACTGTACAGACCATGATTGATCAATATCCATTTTTGTTTTGTGGAAAAGATGCATTTGTAATGGTATAAAAACTATTACATACTGACGATAAGGATGGACAAAAAAAAAAATTTAAGAGTTAATAAGTTATTTATTACTATTATATAATAATTAATAAATTGACATTTTCATAGACATTTTTGTATCCATGGTTTAAAATTAATTAACTCTAGCCAAAGATAAAATATTTGTGTTGTTTTATGTATTATTTTTTTTAATAAAATTTGATATATAGAATAATAATAATATTAATTAATATATAAATTTACTTAAGTATAAAATTTTAAAATAATTTTTTAAACTATTTTACAAATAGCCGGAGATGGTTTTTATTTTATAAAATGCTTCTAGAGTAATTTGCTAAAAATTGAGATAATTTACAAATGTATTAAAAAATTTTAATAAAATGTTAAAGAAAGTTTTATATTAACAAATTATGTTGGTGTATAATTTAAATCTTTTATTTGATCAACTCTTCTTTGTGGTGCTTTCATATTATTCTATTTTTAAGTTGCCTGACTTTTAAAATGTTTTATTTGAAGTTACTGTATTATAGTTTTCTCAAATAATTGATTCATATAAGTAATTTATACTAATTAGTTGACTTGTGTAATTTTTGGGTAGGCAATATTAATTCAGTAATATTTGTTCTATATTACACTTAATTTATTTTAATTGATGCTTACCAAGAGTTACCTCTAGTCACTATAATCTTATTAATCTATTCATTAGAAAAATTCCCCATTATTTCAATTTAGTGTGTTTATTTTAAAAAAACATGATTGATAATAGAGTATTTCTTTTAAAATGAATTATAAAGTAATACCTGTTTATTTGAAACTTAAAAATTAAAAGGTAAATCCTTTCTATAAAATAAAAGTCTTATGATACATGATTAAATTGTCTAATATTGTATCCTTAGTTAATGTATTATGTTATGCAATTTTAGTTATCATTTACAATTTAAAATTTAAGTCATTCCAATATTATAATTTTGTATTAAATGTAAATCTTTAGAAATATTTTACAGTTTTTTATTATTTTTTTTAATTGTTTTTAAGTAACTATTTTAAAATGNCAGTTTTTTATTATTTTTTTTAATTGTTTTTAAGTAACTATTTTAAAATGGACTTCAATTTTGTAACAAATTTAATTATTTCTAAAATTTATTTAAATAACTTATTATTATTTTCATTCACTAATTATGTTAAGCACACTGTTTTTTAATATTTCCTTTAAACAATGAATTATTATTGTTTATGCTAATACTACAAAGGTTAGTTTGTCCCCTTAAAACTATTAATTGGAAGAACAGTGTTTGCATTTTCCAAAAAAAGTTTCTTCTGCAATTTTATGAATATATTTTTGTTTATTGTTTATACTTATTGTATATAAAATTATAAATATTATTAATAGTAACAATATTTTATTATTTCTATGAAATTGTATATTGATGTGTTTTAAGAATACTATTCTTATGTGACCAAACTTGCATCAACTCAATTTAATTTTTTGGAATTGATTTTATGTTTCAAGTAAATACTAAAAAAATGATGTAAATTTCTGTTTTTGAAACTTAGCAAGTTACACAAGTCTTTTTTTTTTCTGTTAATTTTTGATATTTTTTTTAATAGTATTATTCTTAGTTTAGTCATTATTACATTGAAACAAATTATTTAATTTTAACACCATACATTTTTTTAATATCTTTTTTGTGGATCAAATAATACAATAATTTTATAAATAACATAGCTTAAATTATTTTTTTTTGTTTTTCTTTTTATCTCTCATAAAATTTCTTGTGTAAAATGTGATGTTTCTTAAGTCATTCTTGTTGAAATTAAATAATAAGATTTATTATTGTCCAAGAAACTATTCAAAATGTTATTAATATTAAGTAATGTAATCTATTGTCGTGAATATTTTGGTATAATTTTTACCTAAAAAATGATTTGTATTGTGAATGATTGTTTGTGTTTATGATAAAATACTGACATGGTGCAAGTTTTTTAACCTATGATTTATAGAACATGGACTATGTTTCTAGTCATAAAAATTATATGTCGTTAAATTTAATATAGGTATCTCAATTCATAATTTGTTTCTTTTTCTTAATTCCTAAAAGTATGAGATTATAGTTCTCCAACATATTTCTTAAACTATGCATGTATTATGTGTTCCAAGTCTACTTTCAATATGCCATTGATAAATTATTGGAAATGGTTCTTCTATAAGTTTATTACTTCAGTAATATAAAGTTAAACATAAATTTATGAAAAATAATCAATTGTAGGATACTTGATATAGANGCTTAAATTATTTTTTTTTTGTTTTTCTTTTTATCTCTCATAAAATTTCTTGTGTAAAATGTGATGTTTCTTAAGTCATTCTTGTTGAAATTAAATAATAAGATTTATTATTGTCCAAGAAACTATTCAAAATGTTATTAATATTAAGTAATGTAATCTATTGTCGTGAATATTTTGGTATAATTTTTACCTAAAAAATGATTTGTATTGTGAATGATTGTTTGTGTTTATGATAAAATACTGACATGGTGCAAGTTTTTTAACCTATGATTTATAGAACATGGACTATGTTTCTAGTCATAAAAATTATATGTCGTTAAATTTAATATAGGTATCTCAATTCATAATTTGTTTCTTTTTCTTAATTCCTAAAAGTATGAGATTATAGTTCTCCAACAAATTTCTTAAACTATGCATGTATTATGTGTTCCAAGTCTACTTTCAATATGCCATTGATAAATTATTGGAAATGGTTCTTCTATAAGTTTATTACTTCAGTAATATAAAGTTAAACATAAATTTATGAAAAATAATCAATTGTAGGATACTTGATATAGAAAACATCAGGCAGAGATAAAATTGTTACCTTGAATGGGTAGCTGTAGAAATAAAAAATGGTAAAACTATAAGTGATATTCCTCAATTAAAAATTATCTCTCCATTGACGAAAAGTTAATTTTTTTCTCTACTTCTAAAAAATAAAAATAAAAAATCCTTTATACAAGTGATTCTTTTAACCATAGCCACTCAATTTCTCTTAAAATAATTATTTCTTTGTGAAATTTTTTTCGGTTTTTAGTTAGTAACTTATTTATCTCTGTTATAAAATATATTTTATGTTCATCTCTTATGTATTATTCAACTTTATTTTAGCTTCTGTTGTATTTAAATATGGAACACTCTTTTTGTTCTGACTTATAGTTATAATAGTTCAATAATAACGCAAAATGTAGTTAATAAAGATATAATCAATCAAAGTAAAATTATATAAAATATCGATACACTTAAAACCGGATAAATAAATAATACACAAAATGAAAACTTAATGTCACAAACGTATCACGCGGAAAGAGATTACCTTCGGTACTCCCGAGGTCTTCTCTTTCTCCCTCTTCAATTCATTCCATTTCATCTTATATACNTTTCCCTCTTCAATTCATTCCATTTCGTCTTATATACTAACATATTTTATTTTTCTTTTTATAAAATTCATATAGTAATCATTTTCATAAATATTTACTTACTGATCTAGTAACAATAATTCGGGGATTTACAATTAATCTAAACATTATAAAAGTGTTCTACTTCTAGTTTTACAAATAATAGGCTATATTATATTTTTGTAATAATAGATCAAGAAATTCATAGTTAAACCAAACATTACAAAAATGCTTTGTTTTCAGTTTTACAAAATAATGGCCTATATTACACTTCGATGCAAAGCTAAAAGGTAGTCTTTTTACTATGATGTGTTTATTTACTTTTTTTGTATCTTTCACTACTTTTTCTCAGTTCTCGCTGAACCGATTTTCAACCATACATTAAAATATCACAAATCGTATCTAATTGAAGATATTACCCTCAAAAATTGAAAAAAATTCCCTCGTTCACCGTAAATGGGGGAAATCTCCAAAAAAATTACAAATTTAAAAATCGCTAATTTTTTCAATTTTTTTTTACTTAAAACTGCCTTAACTTTTTCAAAAATGAACAAATCAATATGATTTTTTTTTATAGATGCATAATGTCTTTAACTACCATTTGATGTATTTTTTTTATAAATTTGACCCTTTACCTGCCCACAGGGAGGGATTCAAAATGATAACTTTTTCACAAAAAATTATCTTTTGAAAGTGTTCCGGAAATACTGACACTTTTATATATATCTTAAATTAAAGCTTATGTAATATACATTAATATTAAAAAAAAATTTCGGACTTAAATAGAAGCGGATGATTCATTTCACATTATGTGTGAATGTGATACCCAGGACACATTAAGATCTAAACATTTGGGAAAATATTTTCCCAAAAAAGAAGATATCAAAAACCTAAAACCAAAAGACACTTAATTTTGATTAAGTGATAGGATTCTTTGAATATACAGAGTGGCCCACCACTCACTGACAACTTAAATAACTTTTGATCCAGTTAATATTTTTAGTTGATTTTTTTTTTAAATAATAGTTATACGTTAGGTCTATAGCTATATCTCAATAATTAATTTTTTTACATTTTATTAAAAATATTAATTATTTTTAAATTTTAAATAAAATGTAAAAAAAAAATCTAAGATAGCTATTTTGTAGAGTAGAATTTAAGAAAAATTTTAGTAAAAAAATATCTTATTAATATTCAGTAGTAAATATTCTGTAGCGTTTTGAAGTTTGTGAAAATTTGAATTTTCATGTACTATTTTACGGTATTAAACATTGAAATACGTATTGAGAAAAGGACAGAAGAAAACGCTATCTTTTCAATATACTTTTGAATGAGAGTGATAAGTAATAATTGCCTTATCTAATTTCTTATCATGGTATTTATGCCAAGTTTGTAATGTATACACACTATCATCATATGTATACACAGTAATCATGAAAAGATAGCGTTTTCTTCTGTCCTTTTCTCAATACGTATTTCAATGTTTAATACCGTAAAATAGTACATGAAAATTCAAATTTTCACAAACTTCAAAACGCTACAGAATATTTACTACTGAATATTAATAAGATATTTTTTTACTAAAATTTTTCTTAAATTCTACTCTACAAAATAGCTATCTTAGATTTTTTTTTTACATTTTATTTAAAATTTAAAAATAATTAATATTTTTAATAAAATGTAAAAAAATTAATTATTGAGATATAGCTATAGACCTAACGTATAACTATTATTTAAAAAAAAAATCAACTAAAATTATTAACTGGATCTAAAGTAATTTAAGTTGTCAGTGAGTGGTGGGCCACTCTGTATATGAGTGGTGCGGCCTAGTAGGACGTCATACATATAGTCTTAAGTATTCAACAATAGCAACAACACTTTGGTGGAAACACTTATTTGAGGAAACCGAATTAATATAATTAAGGAGGTGAGCACAATGGACCCATAGGTGTGATTGCATGGGAAGCTTTTGCCCACCTCTATAACAACTAAAACTAACACTAAAAATGATTTTATTATTTGAATATATGCAAAAATTGTAATCAAATATATAAATTGTAAATATACTAATTCGAAAAAAAATTGAATTAGCATTTACATGATTATAATAATAATAATAATTAAAGTATAATTTTAAAATTTTGTTTCATTATGATAGTCATATTTTGTTTTGGACTTGAAAGAAAAATATCATAAAATATGTTACACGATACGTATGAATATATTTTGAATTATAGTTTATTATCATTGTTGTGATTATTGTCATGTGTTGAATTAAAAAAAATTAATCTTTCCTTCTACGCTTTTCTCGATCGGTTTGAGGTTGAGCTCGTTTAGATGCATGCTTAGCTTGTGTTAAGAACTGATCCAAACCAAATGGATCTTCTTCTTGTTGTTGTTTTTCAAATTGTACAGGACCAGATCGTCCACTTGTTTTAAAATCACGATCAGTTCCACTGAACTCCTTATTTGGAACAAATCTAAAACAAAAATATTTATTTTTATAACTATTCGAGGCGTAGTAGGGCCAAATGAACCAAGTACCAAAAACAATATTTATCAGATAAAAATTTTAAGATTATAAAAAAATTTTCACACCAATACTGTGAAAATAATTCAATTTCAATAACTATTTATCAAAATTAAAAACGAGTACCCAAAGATAGAGTTACCAAAGACTTCTTATGGGAAAATGGAATGGTTTTTATTAATTTCCCAGACAAAATCTTTTTGGCACTTTGATCACTTGGCCCTGCCACGCTTCATTTNATTAATTTCCCAAACAAAATCTTTTTGGCACTTAGATCACTTGGCCATAGGCATTAAATATTGAGTTTTATTTTGATAAATTACAGGTAAGTCATTAAAACAACTAGTGGTTTTTGCAATTTCTACTTCTACCGGTCTACATTTAATTAAGTAAACTATTTCTCCTACTTTAAGAGCTTGATAACATGGAGAATTTTTCATAGTATAACTAAATTTTGGTAAATCATATGAAGCTACAGATAATTTTTGTAAAAGTAATAGTCTTTCTAAATTGCATTGTTTCATAACTAAGTCTGTATACATAGCGTTTATGGAAGTACATATGATATGTTCTATATAAACTATTTTTGTGTTGAGATAAGCTAATAAATCTACATTGTAATGTAAAATTGATTTTGTTTTGAAAAATTGCATGTAGGGAGTATCTGTAAGAATTACTAATCTAGGATGTGGTGTTGTTATGACTTCTATAGTGCCAAGCATAGGCTAAACCTGTTTTTTGTAAAGCAAAAGCATATTTATCATTTTGTACAATGTAGGTGTATATTTCTTCTGATTGATTATTCTTTTTTGAAATTACTAATGTTGCTGGTCCTTCATAGATAGTATCAAATTCATTAAAATAACAATTTTCATAATTTTATGGGGTAAAATGATCCCATTGAATATCACCTAACAATGCGTCTATTCCATGAAAATTGAATAATTTTAATCTAGTGCCGGATGGTGTTTTAAAATCAGCAACTGCTATCCCGTCACTTAGACGTACTTTATATTTTGCTTGTACAACAATATTATGCCATGTATTCTTTTCATTTGAAAAGGTTTGACCGTCACAGTTTCCACCTGCACTTATTGATCCTGCTATTGTAGCTGAGAAATATTTTGTTTGATTTATTTTTAAATTATTTATCACTACATTATTATTGATCTGAAAAGATAATCTTTGATGTATGTCTTCGCATGCAATTGGTGATAAATCTATTATATCTGAATAAAATCCTGAGCTTACCATTTGAGCATCAGATAATAAGCTACATTTTGTTGTTATGTAATCTGCTAAAATATAGCATGCTTTAAACTGTATTACATGAGTTTCTTTGCGTTGTAATAATTTTATCATTGGAATTTTGGTAATATTTGAAGGTGTTGGAGCTTGACAATCACCTACTGATAGTGTACTGAATGAAGTTATATTTTTGGGACCATCACAAGCATAAGCAATGAATGCATTAGAGTATTGTAGAAGAAAACGAAAGAGTATTATAATAATTATTGGTATGTNATAAAACAAAAGAGTATTATAATAATTATTGGTATGTTTCCTGAAGATTTATATAGATTCATTTTTAGCGATGATGTTTAAATAAAGGTTAGTAAATGTAATTTAAAAAAATTATTTGTATTTTACCTTATTCAATGATCTTTGGGTGAGGATTCTATTTGTGTTTGACTGCTTTCTTATCTAACGTAATATGGTTTCATTCGCCTAATATGAATAACATCCTCTATTAGTTTTTTATTTAATTCTATTTCTACTATATAATTAATATCATTTAATTTAGATATAACTCTAAAAGGTCCTCGATATTTAGAAGCAAGTTTGGGTGATTTATCAGTTTCATGAAATGGAAATTTGATTAAAACCATTTGGTTTGGTTTAATAAAGAAGTTATATTTTGCTTTACTTTTACGTGTATAAAAATTTAAAGGGCTTCATACAATAATTTTCAATAAAAACTGTTTGTTACTATAAAAAAATGCATTGGACTACAAGGAACTTTCATCAGAAGCAAAAATATACTTTTCTAAATCAATTTTTCGCGTTNTACCGGGTGATATGGTATCGTTTAAGTCGATCGATAGTGTTGTTGATGAAGACGAAGCTGTACAATACCCAACAGAATTTTTAAACTCTCTGGATATACCAGGAATGCCACCACACAATCTACAGTTAAAAATTGGATCACCGATTATTTTATTACGTAATTTGAATCCACCCAGACTATGCAATGGTACACGTTTGGTCATCAAAAAAATTACCGGAAATATTATTGAAGCAACCATTTTAACAGGAAGATTTAAAGGGGAAATTGTTCTATTGCCACGTATCCCAATGATTCCGTCAGATACCACATTACCATTCAAAAGGCTTCAATTTCCTGTTCGATTAGCATACGCAATAACCATTAACAAGTCTCAAGGCCAGACAATGTCCGTTTGCGGTTTAGATTTAGAAAATCCATGCTTCTCCCACGGTCAACTTTATGTTGCATGTTCACGGGTTGGTAAACCGTCAAATTTGTTTATATTAACTAAAAACAAATTAACTAAAAATATTGTACACCAAATAGTACTCAATTAAATATTATTATCTATATAACTGTTTGGAAAAAAAAAACAACCTTTAATACTAATTCATTTTTTAAAAATGTTCGAGTTTCAGTTAAATAAACAATAATATCAACAAACATTTTTTTGGTCGTTCATCATTGAAAAATTGTGTTCAATGATTATCTCCGATAACTCAGATTCAAAAATTTTATAAGTATTTGCATGGTTATGCTACATATTTGAAAATAATATATTAATATAATATTATATAATAATATATTATATTAATCAAGCCACACCCAAACGTGGCCGGGTCAGCTATTTATGTATAAAACAATTTAAACGGCAAAACAACGTTTGCCGGGACAGCTAGTTTTCTATATTATCTGGTTTGTGTTGTTCTTGTATCTAGTTCACTGTGTTTATAGAGACATCAATTACTCGGTCGGCCATTTATGCAAGTTCGTCGACAGTTGCTGATTTTGGAGCTACTGCTAGTACTATTTGGGCTTGTTTAGGTAAGCGTTGTAACCACATTTGTTTTATTAACCCTTAAGCAGGCGCGTACCTATTTTTAACGTTCATAATCACGTGGAGGTCTTTATCTATGTACACCTTTTATGCAATATAACACATCCGTTTTTATTTATGTGGGGGTATGCTAGACCCCCACACGACTGTTTAAGGGTTAAGTGAGAAGGACAATTTTGTCCGGCTAATGATTTGATTTTTGACAACATCAATGAAGGTTTTTCGTCGCCTAATGAAATTCCGGAAATTAATTCGCGAAATTTTTCTTCATCAGTTCTACCATATGTGTTAATGAGCCTATCTTTTAAATTTTGATAACAGTTTTCGGTATTGTCTAAGTCTAAAATGTCACTTACTTTTCCTATTATGTCTTCATCTAGCATGGCCAAGATATTGTCAAATTTTATTTGAGACTTACTTATGTGTGATAGTCTAAATTGAGCTTCGGCTCTTTTGAACCATGCAGCTAGGTCACATTTCCAATATGGTGGCAGCTTTACGCCAACTATATTGATATTATCTGCTGTTTCTGTTGTTGTTTTGTCTGCCATTTTTCCTTTGTCGAGGTCACCAATTTTTAGTGCTTCACTTATTGATTTAAAATAAATAAAAACACTAATTTATATAACAAAAACCCCATCACAGGGGGGTTGCGGCACAGTGGTGAAGTGGCATAGTTGGATCAAGTATAATGATATCTGAGAGTGATTAAAATCACTATCAAAATAAAACGCTTCGATGAAAATCTTTAGATAGTGTTTAATTTTAAAAAATTGGTGTATTATTCTAAAAGCTACATGATCTACTAATTCCTTATTAATATCCTGATTTAGATAAAGTATGTCGAATGAAAGAGGGATTATTAAAAAATATTATTTCTCATAAAAAAATTGTGTTGATCCATACACTTTTCAATAATAAGTTATATCTTCTTCTTCTTCTTCAACAGCTCAACGGTCCATTAAGGACCTGCGCTGCCACTATTAAGTCCAGTCCAACGTTGCATGCTCATTTATCAGTCTCATATCCTTTTCTACGGAGTCTTTCCATCGTGTTCTTGGTCTTCCAAGTGGATGCTTCTTATTTATTTTTTCTATCAGAACATTTTTTAATACATCTCCATTAATTGATAATAAGTTATATATATTCAATAATAATAAGTTATAGCATTATAAAGTTAAATATTATATAAATAATAAAATCGAGAATTTTCACAGGAAAATAGCATTCGGTAGCCATTTTCGCCGTTAAGTGCAGGTTAAGTGTCAGATTTACAAAAAAAATATACCAAATGATAAGTAAAGACATCAACCATCTATATAAAAAAAAATTATTTTACAAAAATCGTAATTTTTTATTAACTTTGATGTCAACTTTCACCACGAAGACAAGTCCAGAGGTCAAATTTTTTTTTTTCAAATTAAAGTATATTACATAAGCTTCAATTTAAGATATATATAAAAGTGTCAGACCTTCCGGAACACTTTCAAAAGTTAAGTTGAAAAAGTTCTACTTTCTATATGCATTATATTTTATATTTAAAGTCCCCCCTATATAGGGAAATAGTCTGATTTAAAAAACAAGTATATCCAATGAAAGATGTATATAAATACTACTTCTCATGAAAAAATTGTATTTATCCATACATTTTTTAAAAAGTTATAGCACTTTAAAGTAAAAAATGTAAATTATAAAATCGAGAATTTTCACAGGAAAATAGCATTCGGTATCCATTTTCGCCGTGAAGACAAGTCTAGAGGTCAATTTTTTTTTTTAAATTAAAGTATATTACATTAGCATTAATTTAAGATATATATATAAAAGTGTCAGACCTTCCGAAACATTTTCAAAAGTTATGTTGAAAAAGTAAATTTTTTGTGAAAAAGTTATCATTTTAAATCCCCCCCTGTGGGCAGGTTAAGTGTCAGATTTACAAAAAAAATATACCAAATGATAGGTAAAGACATCAAGCATCTATAAAAAAAAGATTATATTTAAATGTTCATTTTTGAAAAAGTTACGGCAGTTTTTAGTAAAAAAAATTTCAAAAATTAGCGATTTTTAAATTTGTAATGTTTTTGGAGGTTTCCCCCATTTACGGGGAACGAGGGAAATTTTTTCAATTTTGAAGGGTAATGTCTTCGACTAGATACGATTTGTGATCTTTTGACGTATCATTGAAAGAAATCGGTTCGGTGAGAGCTGAGAAAAAGTGGTAACAGACACAAAAAAAAAAAAAAACACATCATAGTAAAACCAATACCTTCTCAGCTTGGCATCGAAGCTAAAATACAAAAATATTTACTAAAACCTGATTATTCATAGTTTTATTTTTTTAACAATTATAATTCATTGTTGAGCTGTTTCACCTAAAAAATGAATTTTCTTCTACCATCCCTTAATTTTAAACTACTATCAACTTTTAATTTCCAAATGGCAATCCCAATTTTTTTTATATCAACAACCTTATTTGATATCAAAAAAATTTTTTTTGTAAAATATTTTTTTATATAATTCTAATTTTATTACTTAAAAATGTTACAAGTTTAAGGCAATTAAAAAAAAAAGCTTACTTATTTTTAGATGATTTTATCATATACAGGGTGATTTTTTTATCATAACCCACTCAATTACTTGCAGAATAATAATAATTTCATCCCTTATGCCTTGGAGGGGGGTAAACTTTGTTTTTTTAAATGGTAACACATATTTTTAATTTAATAAAATGTTTGAGTTTTTAATTTAATAGTAAATGGCATTTGAATTTTTAATATAACTTTATTAGCTTATTAGATATAAACATTTAAAGTTTCAAAATTTTGAGTTAATATACATGTATAATACACATGGGATTGTAAATACAGGTAGCTAATTGGATTTTTATGACATTGCTGTCTCAGTCACGGATTGTTTATTATCAATAGATATATTTTCTGTATTGTCAGTTAGTGTATTTATATACTCATAACAATGTGCCTTACTACAATTGATAATAACAATGCTGTGTACCTGCTTATATCGATGTTATAAAAAACCAATTAGCTATCTGTATTTGTAATCTCTTGTGTATTATACCTGTAAATTAATTCAAAAATTTGAAACTTTAAATGATTATATCTAATAAACGAATAAAGTTATATTAAAAATTCAAATGACATTTGTTATTAAATTAAAAACTCAAACATTTTATTAAATTAAAAATGTGTTACCATTTAAAAAAATAAAGTTGACCCCCTTCCAATGCATAAGGGATGAACTTAAAAAGTATTACATAGTTAAAAATTCAAGAATAATGTGTAACTAAAGATAATAAAAAAAAAAAATGTTTAAATTATTATTATTCTGCAAGTAATTGAGTGGGTTATGATAAAAAAATCACCCTGTATATTGATAAAGCTATCTTATAAGCGATCTTTTGACGTATCGTTGAAAGAAATCCTTTCGGTGAGAGCTGAGAAAAAGTGGTAACAGACACAAAAAAAAAACACATCATAGTACAACCAATACCTTCTCAGCTAAAAAATGTAGACGGTTTATTGTTTAAACACTAAGAAAATTTATTTAAAAATTATATTAATGCACTACGTGTACTTAACTATTTAACCGATTAACTGTCCACTAGTTAACTGATTGACGTTATTGTTACGTCGCGCTGTTTTATATTGTTGAGTTCTAGAAGTTTATCTTATGAAGTGATCGAGAACATTCGCGCGTATATGCATTTTGTGTTGCCTATCCGTCTTAAAGATTCTCGATCATTCCATAGTCACTACAAATGCAGTGATCGCCCTCAATCATCCGAGTTGGTACAGCGGTGTTTATGATAGTAAGTGTATTTATGCTTCCACCGGGCATCAGATCATTGTTTTGTATACGACCGGCGAATGGGTTTAATGTATGCGTTTTGGTATTATATGTCTAAATCTATCGGTAAGAAAAAGCGTTATACTGTATAATATATTGGTAACCGAAATTGGTTAGTGAACCATGCATTGATAGCTTCAAACTCGTTCATTTTCGGATCCAGAAGTATAGAAGAAAATAAAAATCAAGATAAATTATATCAATATTTTTGTAGCCCGGCACACGGTTGCCAACTGAACTTAGAATGAGAATGAGAACAAATTTATAACATGGACTTATACAGAAGGGCACATATATTGGGACCTTATTAGGATGTTTTACAGGGCCGTAGGGTGTTTTTATCTTTACTTATAATTAGAGTACCATGCAACTAGGTCAATAGAAATATTAAAATCCATTAAAGGTAAATGAAAAAGTCATACCATGGTTAAATTTGTTTAAAATTATTTAGTATTCAATTAAATTTTTTTACATTTGTTGTTGTACACTGATAAAGTGTTATCAATATCGAAAACTAAATATTTATTTAAATTGAAATTGTGATTTTTTATAATAAAAAGAGAAACAACAATTGTTGTTTCAATGTGTCATGCTTTTATTCTATTATTAATTTTTGTCTCAATTAAAATTTTCAACACGTATCTAATTCCTCTAGTGTTTTAATTTAATAATAAAAATGGTTACTTAAAGAAAATTTTTTAGTAAGTAAATTATAAAAATATAATTTATGTTATTGAATGTTACTGTTAATAACAGTTATTTTAACACAATTCTTTTATTATTTCATTTTTAAAGGTAAAGTTTCATTATTAAAAAATAATTTTTTTTCTACAAAATTAATTTTGAGTATTATTTAATATCCTTAAATAAATAATAAATTAAAAATATTTTGAATTAATCATATTCATAATTTACTTATTCTTTAGCAAAAATAATAATTATTCCTATATAAATTAAATGTTCATATTCACGACTTCTGTTATTTTCTTAAGGTACTCTTAAATACTTGGCAGCTCAACAGTCTGCTTTACCCTAAAATTGTGCTCAGTAATATATAAATTCTATTCTGTAATATTATGTTACTTGTTTTTAACTTAAATAGTTTTGTTAATATAAAACTAATATCTAATTTTTGTGATTTATATTTAGGTACAATCGATTCTTTTTTCGCTATACATGAATGATTGTCTTATGCTGCTCACACCTATTTACTTTGTCTAAACTCATCTTCCTATACTAATCACAAATAAGAATTAGCAAGAAAAGTGGCCTAATTCTTTATAAACTATCTCTTTTTTACTTCCAATAGAATTTTGGCACTAAAAATTTTAGGTATTCATAATGTATATACTTTTATTTTCCAACTTAAATCCTAAAAAGTTTTTATTTAAATAATATACCTGTTAATTTTATTTTTACTTTGCTTGGATTTTTTTATCATTAAATTAAAAAAATAATAACAATATTTTCTTTTACAGGTTTATGTTACTATGAAAGTTTTTTATGATGTTTGGTGTTGTGATCATTATTTTATTAGTTATTACTCTAAGTTTATTTACTGTTTTCAAGAATAACGCCAAGGAAAAACTTCTTCAAGAAACTGACATAAATCTTAAAAATCTTCAACGACACTACTTGCTTTTTTATTGTTTAGCAGCATTTTCTGATTGGTTACAGGGACCTTATGTCTATAGCCTATATAAATATTTTGGATACAATGAAGGTGAAATAGCATTATTGTTTTTAGCTGGTACACTATCTAATAGCTTCTTTGGAACAATTATTGGTGCCTTAGCTGACATATATGGTCGTAAAACACTTTGTGTTTGGTATGGAATATTGTACACTGGTTGTTGTTTAACTAAAATATTTGGAAATTATAAACTGTTACTCATTGGTAGAATACTAGGAGGTTTAAGTACTTCTATATTATTTTCAGCCTTTGAATCGTGGTACATAAATGAGCACATTCATTTTTACAAATTACCCAGCGAATGGCTTAGCAAAACTTTTGCTGCAACAACATTTATCAATGCTACACTAGCCATATTAGCAGGAATTATTTCTTACATAATAGTAAATGTTTTAAATTTAGGACCTCTTGCTCCATTTATATTAGCCATACCTTTTTTATTAACTTCAAGTTTATTGGTACAACTATTCCTTAGTGAACACTACAAATATAACACTAAATCTGCTTCAACATCAATTAAAGAATCCATTTCATTATGCCTAAAGAATAAACAAATTTTTACTTTAAGTGTTATTCAATCATTATATGAAGGTGTTATGTTCTTATTTATATACATCTGGACACCAGCATTAGAATCTGAAAAACCTCCATTAGGACTTGTATTTTCTAGTTTTATGTTAGCTTTAATGATAGGTTCAAAATTATATTCGTTACTTCTAGAAAAAAATTTATTAGATTCTAAAATGCTTTTACAAATGTCTACTTTTTTAGCGACTATTTCATTTTTATTTTGTTCTTTAGCATTGACAAATATTTTTATTCATCATAAAGTAAATACTGTAAAATGTTATTATTTGTTATTTTTACTATTTGAAACATCTATTGGTGTCTACTTACCAGCAATGACCTATTTAAAAAGTCAAGTTATACCTGAAAAGTTTAGAGTTACCATATCAAATGTTATTAAAATACCAAGCAATATCTTTACTTGTTTAGCTTTATTATGGATACATGATAATCAAACAAAATTAAAAACAAATACTGATATAATTTTTATAATTTATTTTATTTGTTTTATTGCATCTTTTGTAACATTTATTTTTTCAAAAATATTTTCTAGCTTTCGTAGTAAAACATATTTAGCACTTATAAAGCATCGTGAAATAGAAATATGAGAATTTTAGTAAACTTTAATTAAATTTTTGATAATGACATTATATTTGTTGTTCATAAATAAAAGGAAACTTATTTTAACTTGTACGATATGATTTAAGATTTAAAACTGAAGTACTTAAATTTTACTATGATATTATTTTTTAAAGACATGTTAAAGATATAAAGACTTTATTATTAGTTATATTTAGAGGTCAGGATAATATGTATTTTATATTCCATTTTAAACAGTGTATTCTTAAAATATCTAAAAATACATTTTAATATGCAATACAAATGATGACACTAAATTTCATACTGTGAAATTCTGAAAAGTTTGACCCACTCCCTATCTAATTGTATGGACTCAAAAATTATTTCAATTATATACTTGAAGCTCGCCTTTTTATTAATTTTACTTGATAAAAAGTAGTTATTCATACAATACAAGTAGAAGTATTTGTGATCATGATTAACAAGTAGTATAAATTTTCTTTGTAAAATACTTAAAATTCTTTATATATAGAAAGTTCTTTTTACATTCTTTCTATGAAAGATCACAGTCTATCAAAATTACACCTTTCTAAGTAATATTTTTTAATTTACTATTGTAGTTTTATTTTATTTGTCATAAATTATCTTGGAGATATTGCTCATTTGACTAAAGGATTTTCATATATTTTATTATGTTATTATTTATATCATCCAAGTTCATCTCTATTTGTTTAATAAATGCATATTTGAATTTTTAATGTTTTTATGTTTTTCTTTTATCACTGTTTTTTATTATATTTTTTTAACTGTATAGTTTAGATTAAAAAGTTTCACTTTCAGGGCTGGAGTTAATGCCTGTAAAATTTCGGATTTTGTTGCATCTGCAAAAAAAAGAATTATATTTTTTGGTAAAAATTAAAAATTTTTAAATATACTAATAATCTTCAATACTAGATAGAATTTTTACAGATTAACTAATTAATTAGGGCTCGGAATGAAATCAGTTTACAAATATTGTTTGGCCCACTTTCTAGGGTCTTATGTTTGTCGCAAGATTATATAATACCGTAGAAATATTTTTCATTTTATAAGGTATAGGCCTTCCTAGTCACTCCAAAATTATAACTTTGGCTATAGTTTTTATAACTTAGTAGTTTTACGCTGCTAAGTTTTTAAGTCAATAATAAAAGTGTTCTAGCTAATGGTATGTTCGTAATAACTTAACAATATTTATAAATTCATATTCAATTCTGAGCCCTTCTAATAATATATTTTACGCATATCTGAAATAAAAAATAGTAATGCATTCCTCAAAAATAGACCCGTACTACAACTCTCTTAATTTTATTTTTTAACTTCAAATGATTCATCACCATTTAATAATACATTGTAATGTCGTTATATATATCTTTATTTTATTCCTTCTGTCTTGGTTTGATTTATAAAAACATTTTTATTTCAGATTCGCACTTGGTTTTAAAATTATATCTACCCTATTGAAGCTACTTCGAAAAAATTTTAAAAGGGCTTTTCAAATTTTCCCCTTTATAAAAACCCAACCAAGAAAGAGGGGAATAAATTCCTCACTAAAAATGATTACATCGTACTGTTAGTATTTTAGTGGAAATACAGTACTGCGGTATTTCAATAACGTTGAGTTCGCTAAAATATCTAGGCCATTTATCTAACAATTATTATCTAATTAAATTACCAGCTTCAAAATTTTAGGTTTTTCAATGCATCTACATAATTTTTATCCGTGATATTATATACCTACTAGTGTCCTTAAAATTGTTAATTCATAAAGATACTTCGATTCGTAATGCTTCCGATTGGTATATACAGAGTGATTTTTTTATCATAACCCACTCAATTACTTACAGAATAATAATAATTAAAAAAAAATTTTTTATTATTATCTTTAGTTACACATTATTCTTGAATTATTAACTATGTAATACTTTTTAAGTTCATCACTTATGCTTGGTAAAGGTGTCAACTTTGTTTTTTTAAATGGTAACACATATTTTGAATTTAATAAAATGTTTGAGTTTTTAATTCAATAGTAAATGGCATTTGAATTTTTAATGAAACTTAATTTGTTTATTAGATATAAACATTTAAAGTTTCAAATTTTTGAGTTAATATATAGGTATAATACACAAGGGATTACAAATACAGGTAGTTAATTGGTTTTTTATGATATTGCTATCACAGTCACGGATTGTTTATTATCAATTATGACTATCCTTAGATATACTTTTTGTATAGGGTGATTGACTAACTATGCCTCACGAATTTTCTTTAAAAATATTAGTATTATCGTATATGTAATTATTTTATTTGTTATAAATCTTTGTTGAGCTACTTGACAAGAAAAATGAAGATTCAATCTTCATCCCTCAACCCTTAAATCAATATCAACTTTAGTTTTTCAAATAGCAACCCAGTTTTTTTTTTTATTAATCTTGTTAATAATAA